CAATCCACTTCTCTCTGTTTGACATCCACGGCCAGAGGTGATTATTTTAATCCCAGCAGCTTCACACTTTACCAGAGGCCAATTTGGTGCTCTCTAAAGGTCATCCTCCAAACACCCTAATAGAACTATATAATATCCACTGGGTAAGGTCAAGCTCAAATTTGGTTATTTGTTTAGTGGTGAATGGTTATGTTTTGTGCACTAACAATAATATTTCATATTACTAGTCATCATTATAACCCCCATCTCCATGGCTTTCAACCTCCTCTTTCTTTTACAGCCACTCTAAAAGTTCAAGTAGTATGCGCAATCTGCACATTTCAATGAGCTGAACCAAACTGATTTGAACCTCATTTGCAAACAACATTTTTGCAGCAGTATTTGTAGATTATGGCCATTTAATGCAAGTATAAAGAAAAAACTTTGCAGGTGATTTTGGTCTATTGTTCTGGAATCTTTGCAGACCAGGTCTTTAGGTTTCCAAGCCAAACAATCCCCTTTTAACAACTACACCTAGGGACTGTACCAATGAAATCCATCAACAGTATCAGACACAAAGGGGCAGCTCTGAGTCCAACCTGTACTGATACATGAGTTTCTGCCAAAAATATGAACACAGCTCCTGCTTTGTTTGTACAAGGACCAGATTCGCCTTCAAAGCATCCCCCTGTGCTTCTGCGCCAATCCCCACAAAATGCTGCAGCGGACATGGTCATAAGTCTTCTCCAAATGCATAAAACACAATGTGGCCAAAATGAAAGCCATTCTGTCATCTAATTTTGAGGTTCAATGATCTTAAGTCCTTAGTTTGTAAGTAAGTTAGGATATTTTACTTTAAATAAGCATCTGATAGGTTTAAGGATGTTAAAGTCTTGAAACCCTGTTGTAATAATGTATTGAAGAGTAGAGCACCCGATGCAGTTGTAAGCTGTGGCTTAGACTACATTCTTTGTGTCTGGCTGGTCGACAGTACTTGGTAACAAAAGCATTCAAGAAGTGTGTACTATGTTAAGTTATCAGAATTTGGGGTGCTTAACAGAAAAAATAAATTGTGACAAACTTTCAAACAAGATACAAAGCATTTTGAGGACAGTAGGTGGTTTTAGCCACTACTAAAGCTTCTTCTAGCTACACTGCATTTAATAAAAGATTAATTAAACTGGAAGAAACTAAAAGGAGATTGGTTAGAAATGTTTGTTTAAAAAAATATTTGTGAATACAAAAATAATGCTGTTACAATGCTTTCTTTGACATTATGCAATCCTTAGAATTATGTAAAAGTAAACTATTAATAGATTTCATTTACTTTGGTAGTTTATCTAATGGCACAATACATATTAATGAATGTCTACAATGTGAATATGCCAAAATGTAACACTAGTGCTAATTAACATCGGCAGTCCCTCAGCAGGTGGCCAGGAAAAACACGAAAATGGACGAAAAGCATTATACACATGTATACATGAACATATACACACACATATATACATGAATAAGATATTCGCATGAATGTACGTACACCCCCACACACGCACACGAACAATAAAAATAGGAAAAAAACAGGAAATATCATCATTAGGACAGTCTACTGATGGCCGCTGCTTTCCTGCATTCAATTGTGAACAGAGGTGGGTAGAGTACCAAAAAATTGTACTCAAAAAGAGTAGCGCTACCTTAACATTTTTTTTTACTCAAGTAAATGTAAAAACTAGTCATTGAATAAATTACTCAAGTAAAAGTAAAACAGTATTTTGTAAAAAGGCTTGAGTACTGAGTCATTGTTGGTTTAATACTTAGAAATTATGCAAACACACTGACTTTATGTGCAAGATTTGGTATTTTAAAGGCTGAAATCCATAAATAATACAAATAAATGTCAAGAATATGAAAGAACAAACTAATGCAGAAGACATTATTTCACCAAATATTTTTTTGCCACCTAGAATTCTTACAGTGAAAACTGTATGTATTTAGGACAGGGTTAAGAATGTTCACTAATAAAATCTATTGTTTACCATACTTAATCTTGGAAAAGTTTAAATTAAAAAGAGAACTGAGTAGTCAGATTTTACTCAAGCAGGAGTTGTAATACATTACAAGAATATGAAGTAAAAGTAAGAAGCACAGAGTAAAACTACTCCTAAAAGTACTTTATTCTCAAAATGTTACTCAAGTAAATGTGACTAGTTACTGCACCTCAGGTTCTGACTTGAATATTTTGTATGATTCTGAGTTCCTTATGTTTAGTGGTAAGCTGTTCCAGCATTTAGCTCCACTGACAGTGAATGTTATCTGTCCAAAAACAGAGTGCCTGCATGGTACTTCACAGTCCCCTCTAACTGCCGCCCTAGAGACCATTGTATTGATTGACCAAGATTTAATAGTCTTTTAGGGGAGGCAGGGCTGGTCCATGACAGTCCTTATAAATCAGTCAAGCCTTTTTTAAGTTATCAAAGTTATTAAAATTAAGAAATATATATTTATCCTAAACCTTACAGCGGTGGGAACTAAAGGTTTTTTTTAATCAATAATCGTTTTGGCTTTCAGTTTGAGGGATTCTAGGGGTTTGAGTGTTGCACCAGTTGCTAGTGACCAATAGCTACATACACATGCGTAAAAAAAAATCATTAAATGTAAAAATATCTTAACAGCATGAAGGGACAAGAAAAGTGTAACTTGTTGAAAATTTTGCACCCTACAATTTACTGTTTTTTAGTGTCTTAGGTCAAATCGGGTGCAGAGTTCAAGATAATTGAATTCTTAAATTTGTGGGATGGCAGCTCTTGACTACTACATTTGGACACCCATGCTCTAAACAAAGGGCCCCATGCAAACTACTTCCTGAACTTAAGGTAGCTGTTTTGTTTCCTATCTTCCATTACAGAATGAACCGATCAACCCAGGTGTTTGGGGGTGTTTACTGAGGTTAGGCACACCTGGAATAATCAGTTCATCCAGTAGAAAAATACAGCAAACAAAAGAGCTGCCCTCAGTTCAGCAAGTAGAGGAGTTGTGCACAGGGCCCATTGCAAATTTTTCATAGATAAGGCACTGTTGTCATCAATAATTATTGAACAAATAAATTCCTGACTGACAAGATTTCCATCTCTAATCTGACTGCAAAGGAAGTTTGGATTTTTTTTTTTTTTTTTTTTTTTTTTTTTTTGTGCTAACAGCATCTGTGCTACACCCACAAAAAATGACATTGTGTTGACAAGTCAGAAATAGGAGTAACAGATTGTCACAGCTAAAGTTAAAAGCATGCGAAAGCGCCTGTTCTGTGTCCCACTAAGACACCACAAATATCCATGGTGTGACTCTGCTGTTTTGTATTACAGATCTTAGTTGGCAGAATACAAATGAGATGTTTAAACTAATGTATTGCACACTTTGTCACACCCCTCCACCCACTCTCACACATGCCAGCGTACACGTTAATAATGCATTTTGACCGAGTGCATCGGGGAATGTATATTGAGTTACAATGCAAAGCGCTCAGCTACAAACTTAATTTAATTCTTAAGTCTTTGTAGCCTCACATTTGGCTCTGTGACTGCACGTCCACAAGACATAGAGGATGTCTTAGGGAAGGAGACAGGGGATCAGATTAGGGGATTGTGCACATCTGTCACTGCGCAGCCCATCTTCAACACCATTAGATTAAAGCTAATGAAGACACTCCTTGCACGTGTCTGTGTATTTGTTAGTTTGGAAGAGTCACTCTCAAGAGGAGAAGTGGTGAGAAGGAGAAGAGCATGTGAGTGCCTGGAACCGGCTCTTTGCTCGGACTCCAGCTGCTCAGGTATCATAAATCATGAAAGGTTCCTGGGGATCGATTAAAAGCAGCTTGACAAAGATTTGCAGTTGGGGTGAGGCTGATAGCACAAGAGAAAGACCAAGATGAGTGAATTATGATGAGAAAATGTATATTTTTATTTATAAACAGCACGGACACACTCGTATTATATGTTTGTGTTTAAGCGAGTAAGCTGCGAAAGGTGCCACAACAGCAAGAAGAGGAAGATGTAGAGTGCAAAAGAACAAGCAAGGGTATAGAGTCATAGAGGGAGAGGGAGCGATCTTTCTTCCATGCTGCTTCAGCCTTCCTTTCAAATTAGTACAACCCTGTCTCCTGAGAATGTGACATTTTCACGGAGTAAGCGAGGGAGAGATGTAGGTTCTGAGGAGGGTGGGAGGTGTTGAAGACAAATGCGGGAGCTGGGTGGGGGTAAGCTGAGGGGTGCAGCAGAGAGGAGACTGCAGGTTCTTGGAGAGATGAGGAAGAAGAGTGAGAGAAAGGCGGCAGTATGGAGGTGGCAGCAGGGTTCAGGGTTTCACTCGGTAGTGTTAGGGAAGCATAGAGAAAATGATGAAAAGGAAGGAAAAATGTGTGCGCACGGGTGGGTGGGGTGGTTATTAGTCCACCCTCCAGAGGCTACTAATGCACTGACCTTCATTAACTTGCATTAGTGTCGTTGTGTGGATGTGTGAGTGCAGTGTAAAACTCGCTTTAGTTAACACTCATTACGGAGTCTTTGTTTAAAGGCCAGCAAACTAATGAAGTCATTAAATAAGTGAGGAAAATCCTGATGCAAGTATTGAAACCACAGACTGGGGGAATATTAAGGACAGAGAGGAAGAAGCACTGGAGGAGTTGTGGGCGTACAACAGACCTGGCTAAAGAAAGATGTTGCAACAGCATGTCACTGATAGCTGCCATTGTCAGGCCATAGGGTAACTGTTGATGAGAACACATTGTGATAGTCCTCTAAGGAACCCGAGTTCACCTTAAATATACAACAGAGAAATAAAATCTAAATCAGTGTTTTATCTCTTCTAGGGTTGGCAGCGAAAAACTTATACAACCGTATGTGCTTTGTACAGTTAAAAAATTATTGAATTGGTTTCTAATGTTATTATTAATTAGTGTTTATCTGTCTGCTTCTACCTATCTGGCTGTCTTTGTGTACCTAATTTAATCTTATGTTTTCCCTTTGCAGGCTTTGTTGGAGACCCAGAAACAGCTTCGGTCCTTTATTTCCAATTTTACGTTCAATCTGGGCTTTTCTGGAAAGTTCTATCACACAGGTGGGTTGGAACTTGGCTTGCGCCAAAAAACTAAAAAGATCATCTAGATTACAGTTTTTTTATGGTTTACAACTTATATTCTTTATGTATTCACTATCATCTAATAGCAACGTTATATCAACATTTTCGACCTGAGTGAAAAAAATTATGTGTTAAAAGTTGCATTCAATTTGCCCAATTTGTTATAATTTCATTTCTTTTTACATTATTATTTTGTTAGACATTTTAAATGTCCTTGTCTCTCCATGTAAAGCGACACACAAAAAAATGTTAATTCCCTAAAGTGGCATCCATTTTACCACTTAACAGCAGCAAATGTCTAGATTTCTTTAGGATTTTGTGCAATAGACATGACAAGACAATGTTGTAAAATATTATAAGTGGAAGCAAACAAGGTGCATGTTGTTTAAAACAACTTAGATGTAGATTCCAGTGTCACATTGAACTTTTGAACATCAATTTTAAATTTTTAACCAGAAGATTCAGCCCAAGTTGTTATGGCTCATTCAACACAATTACTTGGGTAACTAATTGGGTTAACATGTTTTTTTCTCTCTCATACAAATAGTATTTTTTTTTTTTTTTTATAAATATAACTTTATTGATCTCACAATGGAGAAATGAACTCTCTGCATTTAACCCATCGCATTTGGGGAGCAGTGGGCTGCAATCACAGGGCGCTGGGGGAGCAATCAGGGGTTAAGGGTCTTGCTCAAAGAGCCTGGGTGGCAGTCTGTGGGAGTGGGTTTCAAACTCCAAACCTCAGGATTCCAAGCCCTCTGCACTAACCACTAGGCTGCCACTCCCCACTTTCTACATTTAAGCTCAACTTTGGTCTCATCTGAGCAGAACATGTTCTTTTTGGTTGATTTGCTGACATAACTTTGGATCATTTTAAGCTATCAGAAAATAGAAAATGTATGGTGTATGACCACTTATTCAAGGCTGTAATTTATGCATCATGCACCATCTATTTACACATAAAGCAAACAGCTTAACTAGCAGGTTTTAACTGAGTCATGTGGCACATGACTATGTATTCATGTTTTTATTTTAAAGATATCACCTCTTTGTTAGGGCGGCTATTTCTATGTAATCCACCATTATTTAGATGTGATTTGAAATACTAATTGCATGTTTGCTCTTATTGTAGAATGACACAGTACTAATTATATAATTGTACTTATGAGGTCATGACATAAAGTGGCGTATTCACTGCTACGCAATTACACAAAGAATAAACTTGGGTATTTATTTGGATGCCTAGATCTTCAACAAGGAAAAAATGTAGAGAATGTAGAGTTATAATGACTAAAATACTATTTGACATACAAAAGAACAGCATTTAGATCAGTTTGTGTTAAAGTTATTGTAATAGTATATTCAAAATCTGAAAACACAAAGAAGTTATGCTGCTCAGCATTTCCCAAATTTCTTTGTGTTGAAACATTTTTCTTTCTGTGTCTTTTTTGTCCTTGAGAACCCTTATTTTTATGTGTGCAGGCACGTTGGAGGAGGATGAGGGAGATGATCTACTACTAAAGTATGTAGATCAGTTTTGGTGGTTCCCTCACATGTGGAGCCACATGCAGCCTCATCTCTTCCACAATGAATCCTCACTGTTGGAGCAGATGGTCCTCAACAAGGAGTTTGCACTGGTGAGATGGATGCACAAGCACGTGCAGATATTTCTTGCTGCTATTTGGCTTGTGGTTGTTTTCTTTCACTTGAGTCCTTTTTATTCATACCTTTTATATGATGAAAGGTATGTAAATACATTTTATCTTTAACAAAATACATTTTTTAGAGAGAATTATAGTCTTGTCCTTGAGTTAGTGTTGGATATGCTCTATGTAAAACTAAGGAAATAAAATGTGTCTTTTTTATGTAAAGAATTTTTTACTATATATATATATATATATATATATATATATATATATATATATATATATATATATATATATATATATAAATAGTAAAAAATTATATATATATATGTATATATACACATATATGTATATATATATATATATATATATATATATATATATATATATATATATATATATATATATATATATATATATATATATATATATATATATATATATATATATATATATAACCTTCCAAGCACGTAGAAAATGTCTTTTGGATATTTATACTCATTAAAATACAGCCAAGGTCAGAACCTTTAGATGTGCTGCAAGTCTATAAAGACCTAATTGTGGTCTCATTTAATGATATATGTTATAGTAATTATATAAAAAAGAGAAATGAAAATGTGTTATTCATATTTCCAAATGTTATTCTATCAAATTATATGCTATATGATACTTTATTGATCCCTAAGGAACATTAAATGTGGAGGTAAAAGCATATGAAGGTATGCAGATACAGGCCAGATTAAGGATTTCTTACCAGGTGCAGAAACAGGCAGAAATTTTCTGCTCATAGTTGGATGCACTTTTTCAAAAATGTCTATTTTGCAACGGTTATCATTTGCTTTTCTAATAAAAGAGAAAATGATCTGCACCTAAATGTCTCTAAATATTAACATATAGAATTGACTGAGGCAGCAAGCAGAAATTGTAAATGGAAAAAAAAAGACATGTAAAGGCTTCAAATAGATATAGACATATTCTGTGTCTCCATAGACACTAGCAGGTAAAAAAAAGAAAAGGTAGCTTCTGCTAGTTTCAGTTTTACAGGAAAAGAAACCAAACCTTTTTTCTATGAATTAAATTGTTAGAGATACTTAAAGGTCTTTTGGGGAGTAAGAATTGCATTTGAACCTGAAAATTTATGTGTCCTTTATTTCTCATCTCTACTTTGCTTTACTATGTGTTTAAGATTGTTTTTAAGATTGTCCATTTTGAAATGCAGTTTTCAACATGCAGCATTGCTTTAACGGTTTCTAAATTCTCCTAAAGGGGAGCCCAATAGTGATTACTATACTCTGTTATCCACATGCACAAGTAAACACATTCACATTTCCTCTGACCACTGATGCTTAGCTTTGACAGTGTGTGTGGGTGTGCGTCAGAGCAAAGGACAACACCATCAGTCTTCCCGATGCAGCCTGCAAGCTCACACACATAAACATGCTCCCACAAACAGTATTTTTTTCTAATTTCCTGCCCGAAGGCCAATACCATAACAAACCTAACACAACACATACCATGTGCTTCCCTAACAAGGTCATGTTGCTGGGCCAATGTGATTCAAAGCCTTATTTCTCTAAATTGTAAGTTTGTAGTAATATTTTAGGTTTATGTATATAACCTTCATGTACATCTCTTTGCATGCCCCCTCCAGGAGCACAACATCCCGGTTGACATGGGGTACGCTGTGGCTCCTCATCATTCCGGCGTTTACCCGGTGCACCTGCAGCTTTACGAGGCGTGGAGGCGTGTGTGGAACATTCGGGTCACGAGCACAGAGGAATACCCTCACCTCAAACCTGCCCGCTACCGCAAGGGCTTCATCCACAAAAACATAATGGTGAGAGCGAGAAGAATTATTGTTTACCATGATAACTAAAAAGTTACATTAAGACTTTAAAGATGCATTGATATTCATGTTGATAGGTGCTCATCCACATGGTCAAATTCTTTCATAAAGGGGATATGTTCAGTTATTATAGTTCTGAACAACTGTGGAGAAGAAATTGTGCTGCTTTTTGCCTAAGAGAATTTGGATCACTTACAAAAAAATTACCTGCAGATGCATTTGTTACCATTTATCATCTCCCCTCCTTTTTTCCTGCTTTGTTCACCATGTAAGGCTGAAAATAGCATTATTATGCCTGTTGTGTGTACAGTTAGATTTTACAAAGTATGTGGCACCAAGCAAGCAAAACATGCATTTTACGGTTGAGTGAGGTATGTGAGACTTATCAAAAATTAATTATCATTGTGTATTTGGACCCTTTTTTTATGCATTTTCTCCCCTACGACCACGCACGTTACAGATCAAACACAAAGTACTATATAACTTTAAAGGGAATAAGATGTCACTTTATATATATATATATATATAACGATTGGAAGTATGTGGTTTATTCAGCTCCCTTGGCCCATTTCTTTAAAGAGTATTCCTTTTGATTCCATTTCAGCTGTTATTTTGATAATGTCTCTACCTTCAAGATACTAATATCCATTTAGCTTTCCAAATTAAGCTTAGTCAAAAGGGACAGACAACAGCTATAAACATGAATTTTCACATCAAGTTCAAAATTGGATTTAGATCTGGAATTGACATGGCCATTTTTTCTCATGAATGCTGCGCTCTTAGCCATTCCGGTATTATTCTGGCTGCATGTTAAATGTCATTGTTTTGCTAGAATATGAGCCTTCCTTTATTCCAAAATGTTTTACTGCCATTCTAGTAGCAAATTCAGACAACTGGCTTCTAAAGGTAATCCTACAAGGTTGTTTTCTTGTGTGCATTTGGCCTGGAACCATTTATTTTGATAATTTTTCAGTGACTCTTAGCAGCTCCTTTGTCCTGCAGGAGCACAGCTGTGGTCTGAAGAGACAAGTCTCTGTGCACAGCAACAGCAGAGTCCAGATCCTGATTCGAAATCATGAAAATAAACTGATCAAGTATTCATTGTCTCTCATAGCAGTCGTGTTTTACAAGTCATTGACTACCACATCAAATGAATGATACCTAAAGCTGACAGGATGTTGTATTAAATGTAACCATGCACACAAACATGTAAATGGGTAAATGATCGACATTTCTGAACAGTTGTGAGTGCTTTAATTTGGATCTCAGAACAAAAATGTGAATAGTTTTTATTTAATTATAAATAACACTTAAAAAGCTGTAATGAGGTTCATATTGTCTCTCTAAAACTGAAACTTTGTAGTTTCTTTAACTTACTATCTGCACAAGGTTGGCTGTTATTATAAATTTATTTCAAAACAAACGTTTTATATTAACAGATTTCTATCTGGGTTTTGTGTAATTAAGTCTTGCTCACATGGAGGAAATTCAGGGAGGATAATAACCACCTTGACAAACTACCCAGCTTCCTGAAAAGGTTCCGGCAGCGGAAATGCATTTTAACATATTTGTTTTAGGATTTCGTGACTTATTTGAATCCATCCTCCATTCAACTTTTTAAGGTTTGGTCGAAAATACAAGTTTTTCTTAAAGAAAATCAAGTCTTACTCATCTGACCTAGGCACCTTATTTCTATTGTAATGTGTCCAAACATAAGGAAACAAACAAAACAAATGAAAAATGTAAGCGTTTTGACATTGCTGTAAATATTGAAATCCAACTTCAAATAGAAATCAAATGCTGACCTGTGTCAGGAGAAAGTGTTATCCTACATACCATAGGTAAACATTAATGCAGAATAAAAATAGAAATATTGAATAATACAATTTTAAAGCAAAAAAATGTGTCTCTCTTTTGACAGCTTGTAGTGCTTTCTGGTATTGTTTCTCTTTATAGGAGTGTTTGCCTTCTGTTTCTCTTGAAAAAGGCGTTAAAACTCAGCATAAATTGTTTGTTGATTGTTTCTTGCGGTTCCAAACAAAAAATCAATAATGCTGCACGCGGTGCGAAACCTCTCTGTGTCTGTCTGTGGTTATGGGATTTTTGACCTTCTCTCACAAAAAGCACGCTGTGCTGTCTTAATTTAATATTTAATGGCTTCCCAATGCTTGGAGAAAGGGCACATATTTAGTGAGTTTGAAAATAGCAGTATGTAAGCCATAAAGAAAATGCATATCAATGAGACATTTTGATTATTTTTAACTAATTATCAATCATCGCTTGGGACAGCATTTGAATAAAACATTTTGAATAAGTACGTTTCATCACCGGTATTGCTGCTCGCCCCTCCTCCTTCTTTAGATTCGCTTGTCATTCAGGCTCTTGAAAAGTCTGTCAACTGTTTTTTCTTTATTGACAAAAGAGCCAATCACATTTGACACCGTAATTATCAGTGCATGTTTTTTTTTCTCGAGCAAACAATATAAAGAGACGGCTATATCAATTTTCCAATCAGTCTGGCTTTCATTACTTGATGTCTTGTCATGCTGTTATAAAATAGCCATTTAATCCTACATCGTTTCAACACAATGAAAAGTTCTCCTTTTGACAGGCTGTTAGCTGTTATTATGCATTTTTAATCACAAGGTATTGAAAAGCATCAGCAACTCACTGAATTCAATAAAATAGCAACTTGCTAAAGACAGATAAGTGTACGTCAAAATAAGAAACCTGCTTTTATATTTATTATATTATATTTATATCAATTCTTTAGACATTCTTAGACATTCTTTAAACATTTTTTTGTTTGTTAGTTTGTTTTTCAGAGGACTTTTTATTTTTTTAATTGGTTAGCTAATCTACCATAAATTCTTTGCTTTTAAAGAAATGGTAGGAACTTTTAGGAGGGATTTAACCAGCTGAGAGAAAAATGTCTGACTGCAGGTTAAAATCTCTCTACAAACCTGCACCTGCAAGTTTGATGTTGAAAATATTAGGCTGGCATGAGGAAAATGATCACTAAGACTAGAATAGGCATCTCAGTGCATTGTACCCTAAATAAAAATGCAAGGGGTTCACTGTATTTCCCCAAAGATTTTAAAACAAAATATATATAAATGAACTTACAGTTATTTTCCAACAGAATGGCAACACATCCTAACCCTTTACGAATGTTATGTTCATTATGATATAATGTTAGCTATAATATTTATTTGTTGATAATTCTATACAGCGATATAAATCAAAAAGTAAAATAAATACCCATTTTTATTCAGTTTTGCAACCTTGTTCACTCAATACTATCATAATCTGTCATTCTGGACTTTTTAGCTCTGTGAAAGTTTTCATTTTGGGTTCTCAGTTATGCTTTATTTTATGTTATTCTGTATCTTCAAGATTTATAACATTTTTTTAATTCTTAGTTTTACTCTCCCTTGTTATTCTCTTTTTAGCATTTATGCTATTATTTATTCTTTGGTCTAATTTTAGTTATTCATTCTCTTATTCTTAGGTTATGTTTTCCACGGCTTCCGTGATCTCCAGTTCCTTCTCTTATCCTATAGTTTTCCCCTTGGTAATTCATTCATTATTTAGGAGTTTTATTCCCCTTTAGCCTTATTGAAGTTCTTTTCTGGTTAAAGTTAAAGCCTTCTTTCCATGGTTACTCTTTGTTGTCCTCTATTGCCCCTTTCTGTTCCCCTTGGCTCCTTTCTAGCTGCTTCAGTTCACACCTGCTCCCAGTTAACTGATTACTCCACTCTTTGTTCTGCCTCCCATATATACTCCCCCTCTGCAGTTCCTCTGTGCTGGGTTCTCTTCATTTCTTCTTGTATGTTTCTCCCGAGCTTCTCTAGTTTTTGGTTCCCAGTCTGTTATTTCTGGATTTATGTTTTTCTACCATCTAATTGACCATTTAACTGTACAGTAAGAACTATCTCTGCCTCCTCTACTCTGCATTTGGGTCCAAAACAACATCCACCAAACCTGACAAATAAAACAGTTTATTTCACAATCAAACACAGATATAACATTTTAGAGGTCAAGTAAATAAGCAAATATAAGTTAATGCATTACTCAAATTCACTGTCAAAATATTGGGAAAACTATGGATCACTGAGGTTTTTCAAATGACCGATTCTCCCACCAATGTGCAAAAAGGAAGGATCAGAACAGGAAGGTTTTTTTTTGTTGTTTTTTTTTTAATGCTGAAATGATAATTGATTAGTTGAAAATAATTAAAATGTCTCATTGATGTGCATTTCATTCTACAAAATGATAAAAATGAGAATTAAAATTAAATCTGCTGTCCAGGGTTTTGATCACTCACAGCCTCCTGCCCCTTTAGTTGATAATTTTTTGACATCAAAGCACTCTACCCATGTTCCTCACCCTTCAGATTTTTCATGTAAATTTTTCCAAGCCACTCCTATCCATTAATCGCTTTTTACTACCTTGCAAGCTCCATCTTCGTTTGCTCAGAGGAGGACAGGAAGTTGTCTTGAGGTGGTAAAATTGGTGTTTGTGTGTCTCTGTCAGCTGATTGAGAGCCACCCACTGGACCTACAGTATCTGAACAAATCAGACTGAGATATGGAGCTGTGCTATGTGTGTGTGCATGGATGTGTATTTCTTTTTAAAACGTACTATATCAATTTGAGCTATGGCTCTGTGGATAATTGGTTTGGTGAAATAGTGCTGAGTGTCTGTGGCAATGGTGGCCTTCTCTCTTTTTCTCTCCCATATGTGTGTGTGGATGTGTGTGTGATCCTGCACATTTTATAGATAAACCAATATCTGCGCTTCCAGCCTTTACACTATTTCACATGCAGAAGTGCTCCACAAGGAGTTTGATATAAAGACGTTTGTCTCCTTTCTTTCTGTCCCTTCTTATTTCCTTTATTAATTAACCAATAAAAATGCTTTAAATTCACAGGCTGCCAAATGCTTTTAACCAGTACCCTTCTTCATAGCTGTTTGGGTGCACTTGTGTT